GTCTGCGGGTGTCGAGGGTGTTGCGCGCGTCACGGTGGCAGTCGAGACGCTCATGCACCGGGACCACGGTGCACGGCCTACCGCCTTGCGACGCCTGATGGACTGACGCGTCCTTGTTGGGTCACTCTAAGGGTGTGCGCTGGCTGGCGTCAAGCTCGCGTCATCGGGACAGCACGCTCTCGGCCTGCTGCACCGCCGCACGCTCGAGTAGCATGCGAATCTTGCGATGGGCCCGACGATCCTTGGGCATCGTGGGCCCCGAAAGCCCCTAGAGCAAGGCCACCACAACAACGATGTTCTAGCTTGCCCGGGCAAATTGTGGGAGTGCTTCATTGTCCTCAATAACCCTCCAGTTTATGTCACGAGCCATGGCGCGTGCACGCCCACCGTCTCCGTGGCGCTCGATCTCTCGATCGAGCTTCACGCGTTCCCACTCGAGCTAGAGTCGCGCTTCCTTGAGCTCTTGGTGTCGGGCCTTCAGCTGCTAGGCGAGGTGGGGCCCCTGCATCCCCCTCGGCCTCATCGTTGAGGTCATTCGTTGTGGTAGCCTCTTCCTCATGGATGCTTTTGACGTGTCCCTCAGGGGTACCTATCATGAAACACTTACGAGAGGGGTGATGGCTCCCCCTGCTGGAGTCAGAGGTGAAGGGCGACTCCATTTCTCTCGCGAGGAGGCGTGCGTTGTGCCACAAGGTGGCCAAGGGTGGTAGCCATGGCTAGCCCCCTCCCTCGCATCGCCACGGGCACGTCCGCGACATATTTGGTCATCCCCATGAACTAGTCATCCACGGGGGATGGAGGCATGCGTTGTGTCACAAGGTGGCCAATGGTCTCTGCGGCGTTGCGGAGACCGAACGGGAGCGCTGTCGGGGCGCTTTGGATGAGGTATTCTGGAGAGAGAGGCTCTCCTTCGGCAAGCTGCACCATGACATTGGCGAACAAGAAGGTGAGGTGGCGTAGGTCCTCCCAGGACGGTCGGGGTCCTAGGAAGGCGTCGAGCTGGCGCTCTAACCGCCCGTAGTCGAAGCTAAGGAGCTGGTCGCTCCCGGGGGCGCGGGCCTCTGGTGCGTGCAGCTGTAGCTCCTCAAGCGCCTTGACGATCACATCAAGGCCAGTGAAGTGGAGAGGTTGGACGACGACGGGAGCCTGCACCAGCTCTCCTTCCATCGTGACGATGAAGTCCAGGTCCCTAAAGCGCACGTGCGTGCCCAGGACCCAGCTGACGTTGTGCCTAGCCATTCGAGGCCTGGTGTGGATGTCGAGACACGCAAAAGGCTCGGATGGTGTGCTTAGAGGACACGAGGTTTATACTGGTTTGGGCAGAACGTCCCTACGTCTAGTTCATCGCTGCTGCTCGTGTTACTAGCACAGAAATTTTGCAGTAGGGGTTACAAACGGACGAGAGAGGGACGAGTCCCAAGTCTCTGGTGGAAAGAATGAACGGGTGCTGAGAGCTCGGTTGCTGCTCGGCCGTGTGCTTGTGTTGTGCTCTGATCGGTTCGAGGTTCGATGGGTTCGTGATGGTTCGATTAGGTCTGGCCTGGATCGATGCGATGCCCTTCGTGGGGTGCTCTACTTTCCCTTTTATAGGCTAAGGGAAAGCACGGGTTACAACGGAGGGAAAGAGAAGAACGAGAGAGAGCCGAAGGCCTTCAGGATCGCCAGGTCCTTCTTATCCTTCATGCGGGTCCTGCCGACCCTATAGATGTCAACAGGGACGGCTCCACATCGTGGCCCTATCCGTCACTGGCGTCATGCGCAGGCGTCGTCTACCGATCATGGCGCTCCACTCTGTTCTAGCGAACGTCGTGGTGAACTGACGCACATGTCAGTGTTCATACGAGGGTTAGGCAGAACAACACCGGTACGCCCGACGCTGTTCCTGATGTGAATCCTCGGGTATGGCCTGTCGTGGCTGTGGGTTACATCGGGGCATGTTGGTCGCCTCCCTGATGTCAGAGCTTTGACATAGGCCCATACACTTGGACCTGGAGTGGTTGGCGGCGGCATAGGTCTCCGTCGGGCGAGGCGGAGCGCAAACCCAATGGTTGGACGAGGCGGAGCCCGCGGCCTTGGGGTCGGGTGAGGCGGAGTCCTCCCCCAGAGGCCGGGCGAGGCGGAGCCCTCCCCCAGAGGCCGGGCGAGGCGAAGCCCACAGTCTTGGGGTCGAGCGAGGAAGAGTCCTCCCCCAGAGGCCGGGCGAGGCGGAGAGTAAACCCAAGGGTTGGGTGAGGCAGAGCCCGCAGCCTTGGGGTCGGGCGAGGCGGGGCCCTCCCCCAGAGGCTGAGCGAGGCGGAGCGCAAACTTAAGGGTCGGGCGAGGCGGGGCCCTCCCCCAGAGGCTGAGCGAGGCGGAGCGCAAACTTAAGGGTCGGGCGAGGCGGAGCCCTCCGCCAGAGGCCCCCCAGAGGTCGGTCGAGGCAGAGCCCGCGCGCCTAGGGGTCGGTTGGAGCCATAGTCGCACTCTTGACTGTTCGGATGAATTAATGTTGATGACCATTAGCCCATTCTCTTCGGGTACCCTAGTATTGGTCCTGACACCCTCTTAATAACAAGTAGAAGAAGTATAAACTGAGGGTCTGAGGCTACCAGTTCACGGTGCTTCAATCCTCCTCAATGGTGGCTCAATCCCCATCAATCCCCTTGGATTGAGAACAAAACGAACAGGTCCTGCATCGTGTTGGGGTCTAGTCTGTTTTATTGTTATGTACAATGCATGCATGCCTAGAATGGTTCAAAGACCGACCTCTTTGGTGTTGAATCAAGCCAACCGTAGTTTTCAGGATAGAAACAGGCATCGATCGCATCAAAAAAAAAAGAAAGAAAGAAAGAAAGACGGTGGCAGTTGGGTTTGGTTGGGCTAGCACATGGGCTCGCCGGCCGGTCGGCACTGGATGAGATGAACAGCCACGCAATCATGCCAGGACGACAGGTAGTTGTGCTTGATTCATTGATTGTGCTCGCCATGTCTACTCTACTCTAGCTAATCACCGGTCGTTGACAACCGTTGGTACTACTCCTGATTCATTGCATAGATACTTAAAATATGCTTAACTTGTGCCACCAACCGATAGGATAAACCTACTGCGCAGGATTTGAAATGAAAAATACTAAAGTTGCTGCACTTCTCGTTACATGATACCCACCCCGCCAAATACAAGTGTTGTGCTAAGTTTCACCAAATTTATAAGAAAATGATAATTATATTTATAAAATCAAACTAGCATTATTAAATACACTTTGAAATATATTTTTATAGTTTACATCTTTGCTATGATAATTTAGGACTGTTGATTTAAGATAACTAAAATATAAGGGAATTTAGAGCTACTTTAAGTTAAACTTGTTTTTTCATGTTTGACCGAATTTTACAGACGAGCCAACGATGAAAATATATTTGATGGTGTATCTAATGATATTGATTCAATGTCATAAGTCTTGTGCTCTTTTTTTTCTAAAAAATTGATCAAACTTAAAAACACTAGATTTAAGATAACTCTATCTAGGAATTGATTTATTCAAAAGAAATGGAAGGAGTATTGAATTAGGTAGTTTCTGGTCAATCTTCTGGAAGCGCAATAACATATTGCTTGGTGTGAAAATGGACCACTTGTTATGGTTTGACATTGACATGCATGACCCATAGGAGGATGCGTGGAAATAGAAGTTGGGTCCCGCTAACAGCTGAAACAGTCTTGAAGGGAAGAGAAGGAATTAATTAGGACATGAAATAAAAATGTTTGGTGTTTTTTTTAAGTTCAAGGGATTTTTTTATACATACTCCGTACACCAATTCTCATGTCGATTGAGGGACGAGGCAAAAGGTATTTCATTCAATTTATCCGCGATCCCGCATCATTCCTGCTCTAGGCAGGCTCCGTAGCGAGAGCATGTGTGAGCATATATAGAACTTTACCCATTGTAAATTGTAAGATGTTTTGATTTTTTTAATATATAGCTTTTGTTATGTATTTAGATTTACATTATGCCTAGCAGTAAAAGTAATGTATTTAGAAAAGTCAAAACATTTTATAATTTGGAACTATATGACTAGAACAAAACACTACAATCATTGATAGAAGAAGCCCACTTGTATTTGTAGCTTCTTTTTTTAAAAAAAATCTTGAACTCTATCTAATGCAACTATGCAAGAAATGAAAACTTGCTTCGTCGAGCTATTCAAACCGAATATTTCCGCCCTGCACTAGTCGGAGATTTCATCTGCAGGAATTCGTCCGAGCCACACGCGACAGCATTTTTTTTCCACTGTCAAGACGGAAAAGGGGCCACCAAACGAACCGGGTCTCCGCGACCGTCGCATCGCATCACGGCGGTCGTCACGGTACGGCCCAGTGACAAGTGGGCCCAGGACGCAGAAGCCGTCAACCCAGCGCGTTTTGACGTGGCCTCTGGCCACCACTGGCAAGCGGGCCCCGCCAGCCTCTGCCAACTTTCCACCACTACCACCAAGAGGAAGAAGGGGAAGGAAATATGAATGGGAACGCGCGGCGCGGCCGTCGTCTTCCTCCGCGGATCCCTCCTCCTCATCCTCTTGCTGTCCTTGTGGCGAACAGGCGAAGGCAAGCAACAGCGCAAATCTCTCCCCCTCCTTGGATTGATTGAGCTGCTCCTGCTCGTCCACCTCCGCTGTTCCTCGCCTTGCCATTTCGGGTTCCATTCAATTGTTAGTTTATTGGAGGGAAGTTGGGGGAGAAGGCGTTAGGTGGGCGCCTGCGTGCTCCGCCTCGGGAGAAGGTCAAAAAAATCCCCACCACCAACCTAGGCGACCGACTCGTCCCCCAATCCGCCATTGCTCTTCCTTTTCTCCCCGTCGCCAGACGGCCAGAGCCCCAGCCCCCCTGCTCGGAGCAAAGCAATAAAGCCCGAAAGGCGCCGCCTTTCCTGACTCCGGTTTCCCTCCATCCACGCCAGATTGATTGATTCCTCGATTGCTTGGTCGGGGGAGAAAGAGGAACACGAGCCCGGAGAAGACAGCAAGAGATGTGCCCGCTGCGGGTGATCCTCATCTTCCTCTCCGCCACCATCGCCGGCTTCTTCCTCATCAGGGGACTCAACGCCGAGCCCGACCAGTTCGACGTCGACGCCGACGAGTCGGGAACCCCCAGGGCACCCCTGCCCCTGCATTCCAAGGTAACCAACCAACGCCTCTCTGCCTCTCTCGCCCTTTCCTCCTCGCCTGTCGCTGTGGGCTGTCGGCCCCTATGGCTCCGCCCCCCTATTCTTGGCAGCTTCTTGTTGGCGCACAAGGGTAAATACTCCTACTCTACTAGCGCTATCACAAACTCCCTCCTTGGCACTCCAATTTCGAGGCAGCCACAATGAGCTGGCGGTCCCCACAATGAGCTGCCGGTCCATGGCCTTCAGCTTAGGGGATTTTGCAAAGGTAGTATGCTTAGTCATAGTCTCGAGCTAATTTGAACAACTTCAGTTATCACTGCATACAGACATTCCGTGGACGATAAGCTAACCTTGCTCTTCTTCTTGCACAGTATTTCCTAATTAACACGCTAAATTTGCTCCATGTAACAATCGATTTGAGCAATGAGCAATCTGCTTGGGTGCAGCTTGCCAGCCATTGTGATTTCTGGGAGCCCACTCCCCATCCTCACTCCTAAATTCAGCTAACCACCATTCTATGTCATGTGCACGGAGCTTTTGGATCTAGTGTCTGAGTTGATTTACAATATCAGCTGCATAGAAACATGAGTCGAGATGGTCACTTGCTGTACTGTTTACTTGATTTTAATATTGAATCATCAGTCCATTGTCTCCCTTGTGCACAAATTCTAATGGCACAATAATGTTTCTTTAATAACAATTACTTGAGAATCTGAGAGTTCTTTCTTTTGTACACAAATCTAGGTTGGATCGGCTGTGAAAACAGGGTTCTGGACGATGGTGGACATGGCAAGTGGGCGGTACCTCTGGCGCACCCTTGTTGCCCAACCTGCCAAATCGGAATCCGATAAGGCCCGGTGACGAATGCTCAATTGTTTGTAAATTATCTCATCTTGCGGATGGAGTGCCACATAGGTGAAGACTGGTACAATCCTGTTGTTGTTACATATTGTTATAATGGTGTTGGTGTGTAATATGAGATGGTGGCAGATGTTACCATGGGGATTATATATTAAAGTAATTTCGCAAAATTATTCATGTGTTGAGCCTTGTGTTGTGTAAGACTGGAAGTGGGTGCTATGCTGGAAGTATGTACTTTGGCCATGAGATTTGGGTCGAGGTTTGCAGGTTTTGTCTTTCAACTAATCCACGCTCAAATGTGAGACTTGAAATATAGAATAAAAAGCAAGTAGCTGGAATATGGAAATTGTGAAATAAGATTGTTGGATTGCAATATGCTAGTTTGTTAAAGAAGCTTGTTGGATGCAAGTGTGTACCCTTGTTTTGTCGAAACGGTGTCGTCAGTACCGTTGTTTGGAAGAACCGTTTTTGGTTCTCCATTTTGTTACTTTTGTTACCATGCTTGTAAGTTCTCTTGGTGGTTTTTGGTATTTGTGATGGTACTTGCATAGGAACATCATTTTTCATCCTTATGACATGTCTGTGTTGGGTGATGATCTGGGATTTGTTGCTTGGTACTCTGGTCTATAACTTCCAATGATGTGTACAGATTTTGGATGAATTTCTCATTTATTCAACACGTAGGAGTATAGGTTTACAGCAAGATCAGGATGTTGAGAATGAGGAAGACCAGCTTTGGTCCACAGATGCAGAACTGTGGCTGCAAGCAAAACTATACTGGAGTCTGGAGAGACTTGTTTGAGGCCTGTATGGCACCGGCTGCACAAACAACCTTTGGCATCAGTATTGTTTTGTGTTGTTTGTGTTCAAAACTTCTATTTTCTAACGTGCTACGACATGGTAGTATTGTGAAATGTCGACTAGATGACATGAACTAAGCTCCTTAGAGCTGTGAAACACCATTTTCTGGCTGCCTTGGTCTTCAGTTCTGAGCATGCTGTTACTGGTGGCATCCTCCAATGTCGAAACGGTAATGGATGCAGCCTGAAACGATATTACTTGTGCATGTATTGTGCTTCTTTCATGGTGCAGAACCTGCTGGAATCTGAAAACTCTAGTGCCCATGATACTCTGGACAATGAAGCAAAACCTTGAGAGAATTGCTGTTGTAGCTTACAGGCAGGAAGAGCCGAACATCTTGTTATTCCTCTTCCCCAGACCAGAAGCGTATGTCTGTTGTCTGGTGCTACATGTTTTGAGTGAAAACTGAAAAGGAAAAACACCTCATTCAAAGACCTTAGTAGCAACTGGGTCATGTACCCTTGATCAGGTCTAACCGTCTAACTTCTGAATATTGTGTTGCAGTAAACATGGCCTCTACTCAGCGATGATTCCAATCAGCCTCTTCTCTTTGCACTGAAGATTTGTAGACATGCATCATGCGGTACTGCAGAATGCTGCAAGGTAGCAAGATGATAATATATGTTCGCTTGGTCGTAAACGATCGTGGATTATAAGCCAGAACAGTATTTTTCTCTCACACCAAACCAGCCAGCAGTAATAATCCACGATCGTTTCAGCCGAAACGAACAGGCTTGGTTGCATCTCCTACATCGTATCAGAACGCGTCTCATTCTCATCAGGTAGAAGCATCTAACTTAGAATAGCTGTGGCTGTCAATCAACTCCAAGCAAATTGGATCGGATCGGTTACATCGGTAATTCGGTATTGGACGCATCAGAGCTGTACTGACACTTGATAAGCTGTGATGAGTCAATTGGACTTGTACAATGAAATGAAGCAATTTTTATACAAGTTTTGTCAGCCACAAGGAACAATGGTGAGTGCAACACAAGGTGCAGAGCAGAGCAAGCATATATGTTGGAGATGACTAGGGCCGCAATCTGCCGCCACCCGCGATTTCAGAAGATGCTGCTGCCTTCTTCCATTGTAGCTCCGTTTTTCATGCGGATGCGGCCAGAAGGCTAGAAGCATCTCAAGTTGGGTCATCATCAACTCTTGATGGGCTTGGGTGGACCCAACTTCCGAAGATTGTGTTGCAGTAACATACTCTCCAGTCTCTCTACTCAATGAAGATATGTGAATGTGAAGGTAGTACTGCATGCATCTGTGTTGCAAGAGGATAATATTCTTTGGTTGTATTTACGGAGTATAGTATTTCTTATAGCTTGATGTTATTCAGTTTAACCATTGCACAAATACAATCTCTGAAACTCCAGTTTCAAATTTTGCTAGATTTCCAGTACAATACAAAGTTCACTCTCTGGAACTCCCACACCAACCATTATTCACGATCGATGCATATGCAATAAAATAATGTACACGAAAGCTAAGTGATCGACTCCAGCAGCTGAGGATTAGGTTTAGTAGGAGAAATATCATTTTTTTCCTTTTTCTTTCTTTTTTTTCCGAAGGAGGTTTAGCAATATCTGCTCATAGAAAAATTTCACCTCCACTTGGTAGTACATGTTTGCAAGCTGGAGTATCATAGCCAGTGCTAAGCATATCCTCGTCACTGACAGACCCAACAACAGCTACAAATGAGCCAGGCCATTGAAGAAACTAACAACTAAATCATTTGCATGTTGAAAACAGGCAAGATTTATCTCTAGCGTCAGTGTTTTGCATCTATCATACCATGGCACCTTCATCTTGGGCAAAAGCATCTATGCTGGAGACTAGGAACCTAAAGAGTTTATCCCTTAATCATGGTACAACCTGGCATAACCGCTATTGGTCCGCTAGGACTAATCTGATTGGATCGACGTTTGAGCGTCAAATTACTAATGCTATCTCTTGGAAAGTACTTCTGGTGGTCGATTAGGAATGTGAAAACTGAGCTGTTGGATCTATCCTGAATCCCCGAGATGATGGTGACAATTATTTTTTTAGAGCAAGTGGACTAGTTAGTGGAGTTTAAATATTGCCCCAAGATTAAACTTATCAACATGTGATGTGCATTTCATCTTTTCATATGTTCTTTTGTGTGGACCATATTTTACCTTGATTTCTTTGTTGGTCTAGTTTCTAATTTCCAATGAAGGTGCTACCTCTACCTCATTATCCCCAGTTTTTTTTTTTTTCATTTCTGTTCAGATTGACCGAGCAAGAAAAAATTACCTGCTATTGAGACTCCTCTCACTCGTGAAATGTTAGTCTGGTAATAAGGAAATTGAGGTTCAAAGCACAGCACTAAGTGTTGATAGGACCAAAAGGTTGATATTTATTTTTCTGAACAAACTCTAAACGAAGCATCAAGATCCTAATAAGCACAAGGGTCAATGCTTTACATTTGGAATCAAGCAAACATGAAAGAAGAGATTCAGTCTTCATCGATAGCACACCACATTTCGAATTATAGTACACTTTCAGATCATCTCCAAGTTCACCTGTTGTCAAATGTTGTAACGGCCATGCTATATGCAGGTGCTAAGGTACGCATAGCTTTTGTAAACGTTTCGTACTATATTACATAAAAAAAGCCATTAGAATAGTACAGGAAAGCTCACCCTGTTTTATGGGTCAACAACATTGTATTTCGTGGAACCAAATGAAAAGATTTTCACAATGTCACTCAAGAACTCAGCTTCTCAGCAACTATTGCTCAACAAAATATAACCTGATGCTTCAGATCATCACCATTCACCTGGTGCTCTGCCAATATATAAAAAAGAAAAGAATATAGCTGCTAACAAACAAGACACGGACAAAGAACAGAATCACTCTGAGCTGAAAAATCCAACGAATTATCAGAACAAAAACTATGTGATACATCTAAAGCTCTTTTGCTGCTGATCATCTGCATGCAAGGCTCAGACTATGTCCTTCAGCCCTGGCCGGATGTCCTATTACAACAGTTTCTGTCCCCGTGCATAGAAACTTTTAACTGCACTTCACAATACATGTTTACCTGCCGTCTGTCGATCACCTTGCGCCCTTAGCATATCCCCACAGTTCCAACAGATACAGATGAGCCAAGAAAAAATAACAAGTAAACTGTTGAGAACAGGCAAGATTTATATCATCAGTGTTTCATCTCTTGTTTATGGACATACATTGCATCAGTCATCCATCATGACACCTCATTTTTTAGGATAAAAGCATCTACGTTGGAGACTATAGGAACCCAAAGAGTTTATTCCCTTAATCATGGTACAACTTGCTGGTATAATCATGACTGGTTTACTGAAACTAATTTGACTGGATCTGCTTTTCAAATTAGTCTCCAACATAGACGCATCAAATTACTAATGCATCTCCTGGAAAGCTCGACTCTTTTTTAAGGATCAACAACATTTTATTTTCATTATTGATATTTACAGCCATTACAAAACTGGAACAATCTTCAAAATGTTACACAACAACTCAGCTTTTCAACAATTATTGCTCAACAAAATATAGCCTAATGGTTCACATCACCACCATGCTTCTCCAATACATAAAAAAATGTAGCTGCTAAAAAAGAAGACATCAAATGTAGAACAGAATCACTCTGAGCTGAAAATCCGACGAATTTTCAGAACAAAATCTATGTGAGACATCCGAAGCTACTCCAGCTTTTGCTACAGATCATCTCCATGTTAAGACATAATCTGCTACTCCTATCTCTCTTGACTGGTCGGCACAGCTGTCCTCTCCTGGTTTAGGAGATGGAACTGGTCGGCTCGGCTGACCACTCAGTGAGGCAGTAGATAGAAATGGCTTACTTCAGAGCTAAGGTTTGTACCTTAGGAGTAGGTAGTTGGTGTACCTTGTACCTTAGAAGTAGGTAATTGGTGTACTCTTGTACTCCGGTAGTGGGTAGTTGGTGTACTCATCAACTACTATGTACCTGGTAGAGGTACAACTAGAATTGTATATATTCTATCCAAAGGCAATACAGTAAATCAGTTCAGTTTGTCACATCCAGACTCAGAGCTTTCGGCCAGCGCTGAGCTTGTGCTGTGTGTGTGAACGGTTCTCAATATCTTCTTCTACCT